GGCGGTGTCACTGGCCCTCATATGTGGGATCCGAACCGGGGCCCTCTGGCGTCCCAAGCCAGTTCTTAACCATCGCGCCACTCGGCTGGCCCAAAATGCAATTTTAAACCACTGTACCTTGAATTTCACAACTGAAAACCCGGTTATCCACCTGTGTCCCAGGGCCGGAATGGCCTCCACAGAGACCCTCCTTAGTGGCAGATGTGGCCTCTGCAGAGAGCATTCCCTCCCCGAGCACTTGGCTACCAGTCATTACTTAGCCCTCCTCTTGAAGCTGAAAGGCAGGTAAGTCCCAGGCTCAGAAGGATGGGAAGGCAGGCAGGCCACGAGGCGGCTCTCGCCAGGTGGGTGCAGGGGACTCACCCCCCAGCTGTCCTGAGCCGCACCCCCAAACCTGCGCCTGGCCTCTGTGGCCCTCGCTGCAGCATTTGGCTCTCTGACCATCAAGCCAGCGGGCCGCTCATGATGGCCTCTCACCCTTGTGGTAGGCAGGTCATCTTCAGGGGGTGCCGTACCTGCTACCCGCCTCCCCTCCCGGGGACTTTCTGCGCAGACAGCCTGGGACTCGCGTTGCTGCAGGCCCCCTCTTCTGCCTGCTTCATCTCCTATGCTGCCCCCCATTTCCCCAATCCAGCCACCTGATCTGCGTTCCAGGCTCACCACACAGCCCAGGGCCTCAGCACTGGCTGCTCCCTCGGCGTGGAATGCCTGTCCCCTGACACCCACTGCCCTCCCCGCCAGTCATCGCTCAGGGCAACCCACAGGACACCCTCTGTAAAACTGCAACGCCCAGCCTTCCTTACCTTGCTCTCTTTTTCCTCCACAATACCTGTCCCCTGCTCCTACGTGATGTCATGTGCCGCCCACCAGGGCCACTCCATGCTGTTGTGTAGGTTACGCACTGCACAGCCGTACTGGGTGAACTTTCTCGTCCCGCTACTATATCACAGGCTCCCTGAGGCATGGATTTTTTTTTTCTTTTTTAGTTCACAAATAGATTTTAGTTTCTTAGACCACAGTGTGGCACGTGATTGGTCCCCAGTGGATGCTGTGAATGAATGTACCTTCCACAGATGCAGATGGTGTGTGTGGGGGGGGAGGACAGGAAGTGGGTTTGTTGGAGGGAAAGACCCAGTGACAGACTCAGCTGACCCCCCGGGAGCTCTGGAGCTAGAACAGCCCCTCGGAGAAGTCACAGATTTGGCCACAGTGGTTTTTATATCCCCGGTGTCAATCAGTAATTAGCTGCGGGCTGCCCCAGGCAGGCCAGACCTCAGGCAGGGGAGTCTGCAGCCCTGTGACCGCAGGGGCCCCTGGGCTTCCTGAGGTGAGGGACCCCCAAGGAGGTCCAGCTGACCATGAGGCCCTCCAGTGTGGCCGCCTGGCTTTGGGCTCCCTGCTGGGGGTACATGGGGCCACCCTTGGGGACGGGGCGGGGGTCCTGCCTCCAGGCCCTTCCTCACAATGCACTCCTCCTGCAGGGCCGAGCCCACCCTCACACGTATCCAGGAGGACCGCCGGCGTGTCGTGCTGCCCGCCATCGACAATATTAAGTACGACACGTTTGAGGTGCAGCAGTACGCCAGTGCGGCCCACGGCTACAACTGGGGCCTCTGGTGCATGTACATCATCCCGCCCCAGGACTGGCTGGACCGTGGCGACGAGGCCGCGCCCATCAGGTGAGCTGGCCGCCGGCCCTGCCAGCTGCAGCAGCATGGGGCCTGGACAGGCAATGTCCCCGCAGAAAGCCTGGTGCCAGGCAGGAAAGGGAAAACGGCGGGATGCAGCCAGTGTGCAGTGGGACGTGGTGACGGGAAGCCTGGAGCTGGCTCCGATGTGTGACCTGAGTGATGACAAGGTCAGGCGGGGAGAGGGGGACAAAGACAGAGACAGACAGACAGTCAGAAAGCACTAACGTCCGAAGAGAAAGAGCCAGGGAAATAGAAAAAGAAACAGATACAGAGAGAGGACAGGGGACATGCCAGGAGAGCAAGTGAGAGGGAACAAGGAAGATTACAGAGGAAGACAGAGTCAGGACAGAGAGACCCAGAGACAAGTGAGAAGGGGCTTGTCCGAGAGACAGATGGAGGGAGGGAGTGAGACCCAGACAGAGCCCCAGACAGACCCACAGACAGACCCACAGTCCTTTACTCAGACCCCATAGATTGTTCTGCAAAACCTTCATTTTATTTTGAACCAGTTCTCAAACATGAAAATGGAGAGATTTTTGCAAGTTAAAAATACACAAACCCAGCATCACCTGCCCTCCACAGGCAAAGAGCCGTCCAGCGCTAAGTTAGGGCTCAGAGAGAGCCATCTGGGCATCCAGCAGCGACGCCAGCGGGCAGAGCCCTAGCCCCACTGCGTGCTGATCCTGAGGGGGGACAGTGACACTGCCATCACAGGGCTGCTCGAAACGGAACTAAAGAGAGGCTCCCAGAAGCTGGAACAGCAGCCCCCCGGGGCCTCGCACTGCCCCCCCCGTGGTCACTTCCGGAGATGGGCTCCTGACAGCCGGCAGCACCCATGTAGTGAGCAAAAGGGGGCCAGAACGCCACCCAGAGCTTGTCTGTGTCCAGAGCCTGACAGACAGACACGTCCCTGGGATCCCCGGCAAGGAGCAGAAGTTTGAAGGTTCGTCTCCATTCAAAGTGCACTTGATAACCCCTGTTTAGTAGCAAATCAAATGCCCAATTTGAGGAGTCAGAGACCCCAAGAAGCAGCTCCCGCCGGTTTGAGCAGCTCCTGGGCGCCCCAAGCTGCACCAGAAGCGGGGTTCTCTGGCCAGGCTGCATTTTGTCTCAAACTCCGCTCCTCGATAGCATTCCTGGGAGAGCTTTTGAAACCCCGATGCCAAATCCCAAATAAAAAAATGGACGAAAGCCTTGGTCAGATACTGCATACGAGGAGACAGACCCACAGGACACAGACAGAACGCCAACACGCTCATGGCAGGACGCCCCCATGGTGAGCCTCTAGGGGAAGCCAACGGGTCGTCCGCAGGTGGTGCTCACACCCACGAGGACAGCCAGACTCAGATGGACAGCACCCAAGGTTGGCAAGAATATAAAGCAACGGGACTCTCAGCCATGACTGGTGGGAGAGCATACACTGGAAAGTCGCTTTGCCGACTGATTGGCGGGTTCTCAGAAAGGTAGAAATCACCTGCTGTGTGACCAGCCATTCCCTTCGGTGTTTGCCCAGAAGTGACAGCACACGTCCACCCACAGACTTACACGCGACTGTCCATGCAGCAGCACTCACATAGGCCCCCAATGGGGGCAACGCAAATGTCCATCAACAGGTGAGCAGAGGACAGGTGTGATCTATCCGTGTAACGGAGTGCTTCTCAGAAATGCAGGGACATACGGTGATACCCAGAATACGGTGAAACGGCCAAGCTGAGCCAAAGCACGTGGCGAGAGCACACCTGGGGGACACGGAAGCTTCCGGGCTCCCACAGGTGCTGCGCAGGCAAGGGCTGGCGGTCCGGGGCCGAATGACGGGGGAAGGCCAAGCCCTGGGACTGGCCAGGCCCCGCGTGGCCCTTGAGTCCCTATGGGAGGAGCCCTCGGGCTCCGCGCTGGATGGGTCTCCCCACCCCTCCCACCCGGTCATCCTTCAGGAGGGGCAGTGGCGCCCGGCGCCCTGCAGGGAGCGCTCCTGGCCACCCGTTGACCCAGCCCGGCGGGGCGGAGGCTGCTGCCCCTGGGCCAGCGGATCCATCAGTCCTGAAAACTGCCCTCGGGTCCCCTGCCTCCCACGCTGCCTTCTGCTGGAGGACAGCGCACACCTGCCACGGACGTGCTGGGCGAGGTGGACGTTCGAAGAATTACTTTAGGAAATTGTCTTGTCATTCATTATGCTCAGAGCTCAAGGGAGAAAAAAGGAGAAGAAATTACAAGGCTTGGATTTCTAGAGGGAAGTGTTTCCATCTTGGCAGGAAGGAGACAGCCGGCTCCTCGCACATCTGAGAGGGGAGGCTGGGGGTGCGCTGGGGCGTGCCACGCGTGCTAAGGGTGGTGGAGAAATGCAGGTATTTCTGGGGTTCTGATGAGGTCAAANGGGTCTCGTGACCTCAGGCTCCTCCTTATGTCGGGGTGCTGAGACGTCTCTGTCTCCCCTGCAGTGGAGCTCAAGTTCAACCTGGACCAGTACGTCAACAAGAGGTACCCGGGCCTGGTGAAGATCGTCCGAAACAGCAGGCGAGAAGGCCTGATCCGGGCGCGGCTGCAGGGCTGGAAGGTGGCCACGGCCCCCGTCGTCGGCTTCTTTGACGCGCACGTGGAGTTCAGCACCGGCTGGTAAGGGGGGACACGGGCAGAGAGCTGAGCTCCCAGCCTGGTGCTGGCTTCGCAGAGTCCTTGCAAGGAGCCAGTCAGAGGCGGTGAGACTGGCGGGCCGGACGGCGTCTGGTCCAGCCACGCAGCCTCTCCGTGCCCAGCTGCTTGGCCCCAGAAACCGTTTGTGGGGGACGGGTCTCAGGACTGACCTGTACCCCTACCCTGAGCCCAGAGGAATTCCAAATGGCTAGTAATTCCAACAGGTGACAGAATAAAACGAGGACAGATTAGGGAAATACACACAAGGTCGGGGGCAGTTGCTGTGTAGACATTCAGTCTACAGGGTCCTGGTCAGTTACTAGAGGTCTAGGTCACCCCGTACAAGTTGGAAGCAACTTCCTGTCCTTATGGAACTTTCTAGGTCAGAGTCCACACATTTTGTGTTACTCCCACCACACAGGGGCAAAATGGGCTTCTAGTGAGAAAGGTGGGGCTTGGGGCACAGGGAACTCTAGAGGCACCGCGACAGGGTGGCAGGGGCCTGCAGGTCCTCCTCGATGGGGGGCCGGTCCCCCCCATCGAGCACATCAGCAGCCTTCGAGCTGGAAATGCAGGAAATGCAGGTCCGTGTGACCCAGGGCCTCTGGGGTGGGGCCCAGGGGTCTGTGTCTCCCTCCCAGGGGCTCCCACAGAGTGAGGGACTTGGCAGTGGTCCTGGTACCTCTGTCCAGACGCCGATGTCCTGAGCTAGGTTCTCACTGCTGGTGGCTGAGGACGTGTTGACAAAAGAGCAGGATGTGCTTTGTAGTTTCCTGGAAAGCCCTGCTGGGCTCCTGGCATGTCTCCTGATTTCCTCCAGAGCCCTCGCTGGGCCAGGCCCTGCAGTGGACNGGGGAGGCGTCAGCCCCTGAAACCGGGCCTGGGCAGGGGTGGTGCATGGAGCAGACTGTCAGGCTTTTAAAAAACTGGGTTCAGGTGGGAAATCAAAAATGATGCACAGTTTTCTCCAGAGGGAGGGTGAGGCCCTGGCTTCTTGTTGAAGTGGAACATCCTGTGGTGTCCAAAGGTCAGTGATAGTTGGGTGCCTCTCAGGTTTTGTCAGGTGACACAGGCTGTGGGGCAGGGTCCCTGGGGCCTGTCAGCCTCACCTGGATCTCTGGTACGTCCCTCCTTTGCCTGGAGGCCTGGGCTGGGACACTGAGCTTGCTTCATGTCCCGGTTTGATTTCCTGGCCTGGGTAGTTGCGTTGGTTGTATGGACTAATACAGGTGCTGGGTGGGTGGCTGGGTTGATGGCTTTATCAGTCGGGAGGATGAGTGGGCACATGGGTCACTGGATCGGTTTTGGAGCCATGGATTGTTACAAAGGCAAAAAGAGAGGCCAGCTTGAGTAGAGGTTGGTCCTCCCTTGAGAGGTGAAGTCCCATCGTCAGCATTTTCAAGGTGAAAACCAGCTTCCGTCACGTCCAGTGGATCCCAACACCCAGAACACACTGTTTATCACAGCGAAACACACGCGTCAAGAATGAACACCTTATCTCCAAACGGCCCTCAGCGTGTTCGAGCGCAGGCTGCCCCCGAGGATGGAAAGCCCGGAATCCCGGACACGCTTGCCTCATAGGTCGCTTGCTCACAAAAGCCTCTCAGACTGAAGATAACACTCAGCAGAGACACGGCTTCGGCTGCAAAGCGAGGCTGGAGCTCAGAGGTGCAAAACGGAGCCGCATATCCCCCCGCTGCTACCCCCCCAGGCATCTCTAAGGGAGTGACATGGCACATGGATGTGGCATGTGGACGTCGGGAGGCACGCGGGTCTCAGGAGCGCGATGGCCAGTGAAGGCCAGAGAGGCGTCCGGGGGCAGGGACGGGCGCTGCAGCCTGGGGACTCATCGACATCACCACGAGCCCCTCCTCCTGTCACAGAAAATGCCCTGTGGGGCTGCAGGGTGACAGTGACAAGACTCCAGGCTGGGGTCCCACACGCCACATTCCGGCTTCCCCACTTCTGCTGAGATACCTCCCGTGCAGATAAAAAGAATTGACTGTGCTGGGGACTGCTGGTCCCCACGTGTCTCCCGCGTGATCGCCCTGCTGGGAGAAGCCTCTGAAATGCTGGCCCTCCGTCTGCGCTGGCACAGATGCCGCTTGGAGACATGGACACACACGGGCGCCCAGCGTCTCTCACCTGCGCCCCTCACCATCTGTCAGCGTGTGCTCCCTGTCTTCTAGGGGGCCTAGTGGGCTGGGCACCCCTTATTTTTGCTCGCTTCTCTTTCCCTCTTGTCCTCTCCCTCTCTCACTGCCCCTCCCTCATTAGATAGGAATCGCAAAGCTCCTGTGTGTCACAGAGGCCTGTCTCCGTTCTCTCCACATGTCTGGCCACTGTCCCAGTGGAATTAGTGTGTGTGGGGGGATGGGTTATACCCTCAGGCCTGGCTGGTAAAGCCCCCCATGCATCCCTTACACCTTTGTCTGAATGTCGAGGTGGGAGGGACCCTGGGACAGCACAGCGCCACTGCCAGAGGTTCCTGGTCCCTGAACGGCTGCGTGGGCAGCTCACCTGCTCCAGCTGGCCTGCTTTGTCCTCAGACACGAGCCAGATGCTAATGGCTGTTAACCCACTGAAATTCGGGTGTGGATTGGAGCCATCGGTCCACCCTGCTGACACAGCACAGGACCCTGCTCAGCATCCTCAGGCTCAGAGACCCAACAGTGGGCCGTCATGGGGGACAAGGGATCGAGCCAGCCTCCTTGGCCCTCAGGCAACACGGTGGGGCTAAGCTCTTTGGAAACAGGGGAGAACGTCTCTTAAGTGAGCTTGTCACAGCTCTCAGCCAAGACAGCTACCGAAGAAGCAGTGTCCCCAGGAGGTTAGGGCCATGCCCAGAAAACCCTTCTCGCCTGAGCCCACATCAGAGAGAACGTGCTCCTTCCTGGCCTTGATTTCGATGCCAGAATGCACCTCGGCGCGCGCGCACGCGCACACACACACACACACACACACACACACACACACACACACACACGAGGCACCCCATGAAGGGCTCATAAAATTGCAGTTCAGGGTGCAAGGAATTGTTTTGTCACTGAAAGCCTCTCCTGTCACCTGCAAATCGTATGAGAAAGAGTTGAACCTCCTGGGCTGGTCACTGATGAAACCTAATTACTTCTGTTCCACCAAAGCAGCTGAGACGGTGCCAGGCCTGCGTCTGACTCGGTGGACAAATCCAGGGGTATCTGTGCAGCATTTCCTTTAAAAGCTGGACCACACAGCAGTGATGAGGACGTGTTGGGACAAGCCCATTAACAGCAGCAGACGGCTCACCAGACCGCACATGTGAGATTGGCCAGCGGCCTGATTCTCCGTCCAGCTCAGCCAGAGACTAACAACACGGACCCACGGGCCTCTGTGACGTGACCACCAGGCTGCAAGGTGCATCCTGCTCTGGGATGAAAGCTGAAGGGACTTGGAGTCTGAGGCCCCGCTGTCCCCTACTGTCCTAGTCCCCAGATGACTGCAGACCTGACTAGGTGTTTGAAAATGTAGGTTTTGTTATTCAGGTATGGTGAGGCCTGCACACCAGGGACGGCTGTCATTGAGAAGGGAGCATGTCACTCACACTTCCCAAAGGGGCATGTCACTATGCCCAGGTGGCACAGGTCTTCACCCTTGATGGCAGATCTGGGTCCCCAGGGAAGTCCTGAGAGCTGTCCCGCCCAGGCCTACTGCCAGCTTCTGATGCCATCGGATGGGGGAGGCCTGAACCTCAGGCGGAGAGTGACTGTGGGAGCTTGTCCCTGACAGCGGCTCACCACTGCGTGTCCTCCGGCCTGGGGCATTGCTTCAAGGCGACAGCTCCACGTGGGCGTGGATGGCCTGTGTGCCATGTTCCTGGCTGCAGGGAGGCTGTGCCGTAAATTAAAGGAACTCAGAGTCCAGAAAAGTGGCTCCATAAAAATGATGTAGGACACATTTTCCTCCATCGGCGCCGTGGCTGAGAGGCAAGGCCATGCCTCCTGGTCACTGACTTCCCCTTGGCTCGAGCCGCAGGAGGTGCTGGCTTTTGAATAGCAGGGGCACTCCAGAAAATTGTCGTTTTGATCACTGCAGTGGCCTGAAGAAAAAGGGGCTGAGAGCAAGGGAAGTGTCGCCCCGCTCCAGAACGAATGTTCGGAGAACATGGATAGGAGGGAAGACGCCCAAGGCCATGTCACCTGGCTGTGAGCGCCAAGGCCACACGCCACCCCCTTAACAGCCAGGCCCTGGCCGCTCTCAGCCCCAGCCTCACATTCAGGCACACGCTGAGACCCACATTGCCCGGCCAACACGGAGAGTGGCGGCTCCAATCTGACCCTTTTTTTTTTTTTTTTTAGCTGAGCCATCCTGCTACCTGTTGGCAGCTCAGCGGCTGTTCAGCTCGGGCTGGACTTGAACCGCTGTTGCTCAGAGCTCAAACTCTTGAGCAAGCTCTTAACCAACTGAGCCACTTGGCCAGCCCAATCTGACCCTTTTGACCATTAATAATAGGGGTCACTAGTCCTGGATTCCTTAAGGACGAGGTCTTACCTGTAAGGACTGCGGCTGCTCTGGACTCCCACCCTGAGAAGCCAGCTCTGAAGGGCTGAGATCTTTCGGGGCTGCCTGGCGGGGCAGGGCTCCTGGGGGCCCAGTGGGTCTCCCTGCTCCTGAGTTCCTTTCCTCTGAGCAGCTGCCTGCAAACCTGACACCTGATCCTATTTAGGTGGCAATTAACCGAGTTGATGAATTAGTGGTTGAGACACAGGGTGGATGTGACGGTAACTTTTAGGTCGTGATGCCTCCACAGCTCTGAGTGGATAAGCAACTTCAGGGGATTCACCCAGCTGTTCTGGCTCCCTGCCCTACCACGAGCCAGCTGTGTGACCTTGGATATGTTTCTTAACCTCTCTGTGCCTCAGTCCTTATTTTCATCCGTACTGAGAACAAGGTTAACCACCCCCACCTGCCCCGGCATAGGATTGTTGGGGTTTGTCTTCACCCCACCGCCACCTGCTGGTCCAGCTTTATCAGTTAGGAAGGTAACAGCAGAAACCCCGCTAACCAAGGCTTGAACAGATAGACACTTAGGTGTCTCATGACGCACAGACCTGATATAACCACTCCACAATCGCCAAGGGATTCGGGCTCTTTCTCACTTTCCATCGGCCATGCTTGTTGTGTCGACTTTGAGCCGCATGGTCATAAGACGGCTGCCACTCCTCCAGCCTCACATCTGCTTTCCTAGCAGGAAGACGGGAAGAGGGGCAAAGGGCCCTGCCAGCTGGGGCTGTCTCTTTTTAGCATAAGCCACAGCTTTCCCAAAACCCTATCCTGAGGCTTCTGCTTACAGCTCAGGGGCCAGCACTGCATCGCACGTCCACCTCTAGCTGCGGGGGGGCAGGGAATCTGGGGTTTTGGGTGTAACTTGAATCACGAATCGACAGTCTGGAGCCATGGCTCCATCATCTCTCACCTAGAAATGCGCCCCTACTGGCCTCGCGTCACTCTTGCCCCCATAACCTGTTCTCCACACGGAAACCACCATTCCAGGGAGGCCCCGAGGCCGAGCCCGAGCCCCGGCATCTCAGGAAGCCGTTAGCTTAAAACCCTCACGGCTGCCGAGTTTAAGTGAAACATACAGAAGTAAACATGCGTGAGTGGGAGTCATGGTGCAAAATCTATTTCGATGATGGGTGAGGGTTCAAACGGTCAGGGGCTTTGGGGGTCAGTTACAGAGGAGCCACTGAGTGTCCAGACTCTTTCTTTAGACCCAGATCGTGTCTGTTTGAGGCACTTTACGTGGTGTTTGCAAAGGAAGCTGCTCTTTTTAAATTAGATTGTGGGTTTGTTCCAGGGGCTGGGGAGCAGCTGCTGGTGGACATGAACCCTCTCGGGCCAGGCTTCCCGGCACAGAGCAAGCATTGAGTGGGGGTGAGGGCCCTTGGAATGGGGAGACAGCCTTGTCCAGGCTGTGGTGAACTTCACGCCCGGCCATGGCTGCATTTCCGCCCGTGTCCCCCGGACGTGCCCACTGGCACCAGGCCTCCCGGTGCCCCAGCAGGTGCGTCCTGGGGCCTGTGAGCGGGATGGGGGTTGGAGGGGCAGAGCTGGCCACCCAGAGGGGCTGCTGTCCCCAGCAGGTGTGGCAGTGTGGTGGCAGCATGGAGGTGCTGCCCTGCTCCCGCGTGGCACACATCGAACGCACCAAGAAGCCCTACAACAACGACATCGATTACTACGCCAAGCGCAACGCCCTGCGGGCGGCCGAGGTGTGGATGGACGGCTTCAAGTCCCATGTGTACATGGCCTGGAACATTCCCATGACAGTAAGCCAGCCAGGGCGGAGGGAAGGGTGGGGCCCCCCTCAGGTATGGCTTCAGGTGTTGACCAAGGCGCAGCCTATCCTCACGAGGCCTCCTGAGCGTCTCAGCGAGGATGGTGAGAATGTCATCACTTTGGCCAATGAGAGCCCTTTCTAGCAGCCAGTAAGCTAACTGCAAGCTGCCCACACTGGTTCAGTGGCAGACGTGACTCAAGGGTCACTGTTCCTGCTGGGTGAGCCCCCCCAGGAGGACAACGGCCCCTCCTCAGGCCACAGGGTCCCCTTCTGACACTGAGTTCAGTGCGGAGGCCGGTGATGTGATAGTGATGATGCAATCCTGTTACTCCCACACGGAGAGGTCCGGTCTCTTACATAGGGACGCACGGCTAACAAGGGGCAGAGCTGAGACACACTGAGGTCCCCCGCAGGACCCTTAACGAGGCTCTCAGGGCCCCCCGCCTGCCGTGGGGATGGAGGCTTCTCCTCCCCTGGTGTTTGCCTGCTGCTGGCAGGAAGCAGAGGCTGGGTGCAAACCACAGGTTCCCAGCCAGCAGCCTGTGGCCGGGGTCGGGGAGCTTGGAGAAGTGTGCACACATGTGTGTTTGCATGTGTGCGTATGTATGTATGCCCCATGCTCATGGCAGAGTCCCGGGTCCTGGGGTCTCACGCTCTCAGTGCCCTGCTTGCCTCGCTTCCTGCCTCGCAGAACCCAGGAGTGGACTTTGGGGACGTGTCCGAACGGCTGGCCCTGCGCCAGAGGCTGAAATGTCGCAGCTTCAAGTGGTACCTGGAGAACGTGTACCCTGAGATGAGGACTTACAACGACACCCTCACGTACGGAGAGGTACCGCCTCCGCCGGGATGGCCCCTCCGGTCAGGCAGGCTTCCCGCCCGTGCCCCGAGCCCACCGTTCCTGTGTCCTGACACTACAGCACCCGGCCCCAGTTGTGTTCACACCCCAGCGCCCTCCCCTGTACCCGTGTGCGTGTCCATGGACACCACATAGCAGCGTGCACAGGGGTGTTTCCCTGGGCGAGTCCCACCTGTGCAGGGGGGACAGGTCTGCACGCTTAGGTGGGGGGCATGTCTGTCTGTGCCTCCCCCAGTGACAAGCAGCCAGTCCCTCCCTGAGCGCTACCCAACCCCTGCTCCCCCCTCCCCCACCCCTCCACCCCTTCCTCCCTCTCCCCTGCCGAGGGCAGACCCTATCCCTAGTGGGTCTCAGCCTGGGCATCAGGCTCACACTTTCCTGAGACTGGCCCAGAGCAGGCCCCTCGGCCCCTGTCAGGGGACCGGTATGTGAAGCCCCCTCCAGCCTCACCTCTGCCTGGGGACCCTCCGCCATGGGTTTCTCCTTTGGTTTCTGGTCGTAGGTGAGAAACAGCAAAGCCAGCGGCTACTGCTTGGACCAGGGAGCAGAGGACGACGACCGAGCAATCCTCTACCCATGCCACGGGATGTCCTCCCAGGTAGGGGCGGTGGCTGCCCCAACGGCCAGTGGGAGGCGGTGCCACAGGGGCCTGCTGGGCGTCCTGGTGCCACTGAAGCCACCCAGGAGCAGCGTGGGACCCTCCAGGACACGCTCACAGCCACACTCATGCCAGGCGGCACGGCCTTTGGTGCCCTCGGTTCTCCCACTCCTCAGACGGGATGGTGACTCTGCCCGCCCCTCAGGACTGTCGTGTAGACAGCAGTGGATGGGTGGGCCCAGCGTTAGCTACCGTGGCGATGTCACCTAGCAGACAGGGGCCCCTCACACACGGCAACGCTGCTGTCCATGGAGCACTTTACATGGAGTGCCCGTCGGGTCCTTACCGGAGCCCCGAAAGGCAGGCACCATCATAGCTCCTGTTTCCATTGCAGACGAGGACACCCAGGCGCAGAGAGGTGACGTACGCCCAAGGTCACGCAGCTGGGCAGGGGCAGGGATCTAGAGCTCATACTTATTTGCAAACAACCTGAACTAGGACTGGCACACATTACCTTGGGGCTGCCCTCACATGTTTGCCTTGTGGTTCAAGGTCAGATGAGGTGACCTGGGACACCTGTGAAACTGTCCTCCCTGAGGCTGAGGTGCTGAGCACCGCAGGGTGGGGCTCCGAGCAAAGTTCTGGGGGGCCAGGGGAGCAGGGACGTCCAGAGGGCCGACCCCAAGTGGGCTCTCCGTGCACACCGGGCGTCCCAGGAGAGCCGGCACTGGTGACAGGGCCCCGCAGCCCAGCCGGGTAGGCCACCACCCAGGGTCACCGCTGCTCTCTGGCCTCTCCCAGCTGGTGCGCTACAGCGCGGAGGGTCTGCTGCAGCTCGGACCCCTGGGCTCCACATCCTTCCTGCCCGACTCCAAGTGCCTGGTGGATGACGGCAGGACCCGCACCCCCGCCCTGAAGAAGTGCGAGGACGTGGCCCGGCCAGCCCAGCGGCTGTGGGACTTCACCCAGGTCAGTGGCTGGGGACACCCTGTGGCCCCTCGGGCCAGCCTGTGGGTGGGAACTGAGGCAGTGGGGAGCCTGGGTCCGCTGCTCCCACATGAACCCCGTCTCACAGAGGTTAGGTGACTTGCCAGGGTCCCTCCTCCTCCAGCCTCCTGATGAGGGGTGTAGGGGAAAGGATAAGGCATGACAGCTATCGGAGCCCTCCCCTCCGCTGCAGGCCAAGGGGGCAGCCTGTAGCCCCTCAGACTCTGCAGGGAGCACCCCGTTCCGGGCCCTTTGGGGGCTGCTGGGCTCGAATTCCAGGCCCTGAGAACAGACCTGTGGGCTCACAAGCTTAAAGCTGCCTCCCCGTCTGGTGGGGTCGGCACCTGTGCCCGCCCCCTGCCTGGAGCTCTGACTGTTCCTCACGCAGGCCCCTCCCTGGACCGTGGGCTACAAACAGCACACACACCCTCAGAGTGCAGCTGGGCGGGCCCAGCACCGGGAAGGGGACAGCGTGTGTGTCCAGCCCCTCCCAGGGCCCTGCGGCCACGTCCCTCCTATTCTCTGCCCGGGGTACTCCCGTTCTCCCGTTTTAAGGCTCCTCCTGGCCGTGGTCCTCAGCACCAGGAACCTGCCTGCTGCGTCCCCCTACCCCCATGCCCGAGCTCCCCCTGGGCAGCGTATGTCACTGGGGGACAGTCTGATCTCTGCCTCACCCCACACACCCGCTGTCATCACTGCTGCTGAGCAGACGCATGGCACGTAAACGGGTTCCAGTTACAGGAGAGGCTGCGGGGATGAGCGGAGCCAACAAGCCTCAGAGGTCCCCAAGAGGCTGGGCCTGGGGCCGGCACAGTGAGGGTCAGTCTCAGGGAGGACGCAGCTGCAGAAGGATGGAGAACATACAGGAGATGGTCCTGGGGTCCTCGGGCTCGGGCCAGGGCCTCGGTGTTTGGGGCCGGGGGGCCTGCAGAGGTGACTGAGGGCAAGTCAGCCAGCCAGGGGTCAGGGAGGTGCCAGGGAAACGCCATCCCGGGGGCCCTGGACTCTTGTTGTCCTGGTGACTTCTCAGACCCCGGGGGCAGGGCAGGCGGGTGGGGCTGTGTGGGAGGACAGGGGGACGAGGGGACAGACAGGACCTGAGTCTCTGGTGGCCGTGAGCGACTGCACGGGGCTTCCTTGCCTTACTCCCCGGATGCTGTCAGGATGGCCCCCAGGTGCCCATGCTGACTCAGTTTCCCTCCCCTGAAGAGCGGCCCCATCGTGAGCCGAGACACTGGCAGGTGCCTGGAGGTGGAGCTGTCCAAGGATGCCAACTTCGGGCTGCGGCTGGTGATGCAGAGATGCTCGGGGCAGAAGTGGACCATCAGAAACTGGATCAAGCGTGGGAGGCACTGACCCCGGCTCCTCCCCCAACGCAGACCCTGAGGGCCTGGGGATGGCCACCCCGAGCTGGTGCCTGGAGCCTGGCTGGGCCCTCACCATCTCTGGCTGGGACCTCTCCTGGGCTGCTGGTGGGTCGCTGGGTCCTGTCCGCTGGGACAGCGGGAGCCTCCCTGCGTCGCGTGCTCTGGAGGACGATGCCGGGACCCGTGCCTGCCAGGAGCACAGGCCCTCCCAGCTGGGGTCGCCGACAGCCAGCGCCAGCTCCAAACCACGTGCCTTTCCCATGGGATTCCCGCCCAGCTGCCCGGACGGCCACCTCTTCTGCATGTGCTGTACAGCCCACCAGGCAGAACTGCCCCCTGTGAACTCAGAGGGCGGCAGGCTGCCCCTCGCTGCCCTCCTGCGGTCGCCCCGGTGGACTCCCAAGAGCAAGCAGAGCTAAGCCTCTCTGCCTGTGGCTGATGAGATGGGAACCGGGACGCCAGCCACAGTGTCCCAAAGACAACCCGTTTAGGTGTTAGGTGAGGGTACCCAGTGACTCCTGCAGTCCAGTGAAGAGCAGATGAAAGCATATAGACCTGTGTCTCGTCCACTGGAGTCAGAGCTGGTCGGCCAGCCAGGGGAGGGTCCCTATCCCAATGTCTCACCCAGCAGGGGTCAGCCAATGAGGACCCATGGCCCCTCACCTGTTTTTATAAATAAAGTTTTATTGGCACATGGCCACACCCACCCTGTTGATGTATTGTCCACGGTGGGGTGGTGGCTTTCAGCTCCGGGGGTTGAGAAGTCAACACCCCCCCCACACACACACACACACATACACCCTCCAGGGCTGTCCTGGGGCCTCCATGTGCCATCTCTGGGCAAGTTGGCCCTCACTCTGAAGACTGCAGGACTCTGAGAGAGACTAGAAAAAGGTCCCGCCTGTCCCTCTCCCCATCGGGCCCAGTGCCGGAGCGGCTGCTTCCTGCTGCGCCCTGCCCGGCCGTGCGAGGCCTCTGCTGTCTGAGGTGCGGGGCCGAGGGCTGGCTCGGCTCACCTGGCAGTGAGAACAGGTGGCAGGTGGATGCCCAGCTTCCAAAAACCAAACCACCCAGCTCCTCCCGCACAGACGGTCCCCCAGGGCAGAAACTGTGGGTGCTGTTGACTGCTCAGTCCCCCCATTCTGATGCCAAACCTGGAAAGCAGGCTGGCAGATCCTACCTGGTCTCAGCGTGCTGCAGCCAGGCAGCCTGTGCTTCGGAAAGGACTGGGAAGCATCACAGTCATCAACCCCAGCAGCGTGTCTTTGTGGGAGAGGAGAGGCCATTCCTGGTGCCACCAGGGAACCCAGGTCCCAGAGGCAGCTTCCCCAACGACCAGCGGTGGGAGAGAGGAAATGCAGGACCACAGTCCCTGGGAGAGTGAGGGCTCTGACCTGCCCTCAGGGTCAGAGGGGGCGTTTGTGGTTTTCTTGCCTTGAGAAGCAACGAGCCTAAGCTTCACTGTCCTGCAGCCCAGGCCCGGTGGTAGCCGGCCCACTGGGCTTGTACCCCACAGAGTCCCCTCCCCGACATCCCCCTGGGCACCCTCACCTCCCATTTACCCTGGGGCCTTTCTTTCTGCATCTGGGAGAAGCTTGGCAGAGAATTCTACTGGCTCCAACCCACATCCCCCCCAAAGCTCTCTTCTAGATTTTCCCCAAATTTTAAGACAATGATGAAGCAAAGAGCTGGTGGTGAAAAAGCCTCAAAAGTCAGTTGCTAGTGAAGGACCTGCCCCCTGGGTCCACAGAATCCAGACGTTTCCCAAACGAAGTTATGACCTGCAGCGCCATCAGGATGCAAAGTACATAGGCTGGGGTTTAACACGGACGATACCACAGCCTCCAACTCACACGCTCGTGTTATGGCTCCTGAGGCGAACTGGTAGCCAAAGGCGGCTGGTTTGCAGCCCGCACAGGATCTTACGGAAAACCTGACACCCAGAAAAGCATTTCTCAACTTCTCCACAAACCTCCGTCCAGTAGGGAGGCGGTGTGTCCCATGTTTGAAAGCCTGCTCTGCGCATCAGGGTCCCGCCGGCACCAGGGCTTGTGAGGGTGGAGGAGGTGACTGGGAGGGGTCCCTGAGCTGTGGGACAGGCGGGTCACCCCTGGGGAGGCACCGTCTACGCTCTCTGGCACTAGGCCCGCGTCCATTGTAACCAAGGAGGGACGAAATGGCCCTGATAGAAGATGGTCGGAATGCTCTTATTTTTCCATATATGCACTTCAGTCCTTACCTGCCTCATGAGGCCTGGCTTTGCCAGAAGAGCTGCCCAAGGATCCTGGGGCCAACTCGGTGTAAAGAGCCCCTACCTCCCCCAAAACGTGGGCTGGAAAGACAGAGCAGGATACCGCTGCGCAGTTGCAGCTCATGGCCACATGGTGGCGCCACTGAGCCCCCCGCCCCCCGCCCGCGCAGTTTTGCGATGGACACTTGGTCGTGGCTAGTGGGACGTCCCCGCTGGTTTGGACCCCCGTCTGCACCCCACGCACGCGCGCCCCACGCTGGGGCACGCTCCTAGGTCTTTCCAAGTCATGGTGACATGCACGACCATCGAAGTGCCCTGGGCTCAACAGAAGATCCAACCCCATTTCCTGTAGCCTGTAGCTCTACATTCACACCTCTTTCACCTAAAGACACAACTGCTTTTCTCCTTTGCCTGTTTTTAAGAGCATACGCTTCTCACGACGCAGTCCGGCGTTTCATACACCGATCCTACCTTCCTTCCGCTCTGCCTGGCCACCTAGTGTTTTTTTTTGTTTGTTTTTTTCTTTTAAAACAAGTTGTGTTTTAAATGGTCAAGATACCAGCAAATATAATTTAATACAACTTAACAGTTGGCCCGCTTCTTCCATTAATTCAATTATAAATTGGCTCTGTAGCAAATTCAGAAAAACCCACATCATTTGTTTAAAACGGTTCGTTGGTAACCAAACCTAATAACCGGGGCCCTGGGAAAGGCTGTTAACAAGCTTCTGATGAAAAGCAGGGAACACAGGCTTCTTCCCTCTCCTGTGCCCTCGATACAGGCCATGTGTGTCCAAATTTAATTTTCTCTAATAAAAACATTCATCGCTCCAGTGCGTCTTCCTTTACGGTTCAGACTGTCTGGGTGGGTGGTTCCTGCAGGAAGCAGCAGGTGATGGGATTTGGCCCCGGGGAGTGGGGTTCCCATTTCCGGGGCTGCCCCAACCCCTGGAGCAGGTGGGAGAGGCAGCCTCAGAGGCCTCACTGGAGTGCAGGCCTGGGAGTGCTGGCCGGGCACCCCACAGGCAGACACAAGGAAGCGTCTTCTCGAATCCAGGAGAAGCCCTCACGCAGCTGCCCCTGGGCCCTGAGAGCGGGGCTGGTGTGGAAGTGGAGTGGGGATGAAGGGCGTTGGGGGCTGAGGCCTCCACCTGCCCTGGTGCCCACCCCATCCTGGGGCCCCTGGCCCAATCCCAGGCACATGGAGGAGTGGGGGCACGGTGGTTTCCTCTCCAGAGGGTCTCTGTGCATGAGTGGATTTTAGGGCTGAGCCTGGCCCGGGCATGGTCAGTGAGGATGGAAGGGGCTAGGGCTGGGGCTGAAAGGGCCAGGTGACAGGAACATGGCTTCTGGGCCTCACCTCCACCCACACTCCCACACCAGGCCAGGCCTGCTGGCATCCCACAGGCCCCGCTCAGAAGGGCCCCAGAATCATTTAACACTTATCTGAAATTCCTGGTCCCGTGTAAACAAGGAGGCCTGCCAACTGTGTGGTGGGTCCTGCCCACACGCCCGCTGCACCGAGGCCTCCCCAGGCCCTCTTTCAATAGCAACTCCTTGGGTCAGTCATTCACTCGCTCACTCGCTCATTTGTTCAACAGGCTCAGTGGCAGGGGGCAAAGGCGACAGGAGCCCCCAGCCACATGCAGCCCCGCCCCCAGCCTGTGGGACCACTGGGGAGAAGGATCAGGGCCCCCTGAGCCAGGTGAGTCATCCGCAAAGGTTTGCCTAGATAGAACTTTGCCTAGATGTGACTTTGTAGAGCATGACTACGTGGGATCGTGAGAACCAAGCGTAGTTACAATTGAGGGAAATGTGGCTTTTCACTTAGCAGTGTCGACTGAAAACCAGCATCGACTAGGCGGTTCGTCAACAAAAGGACTTATTGAGGTGGGGGGGGGGGAGAGACAAAGGCTGCAACCCAGTGCATGCACACACAGAAAGCCACGTGCAAGGGCTGCAGGTGCCAAGGTGGAGGGCACATGGAAGGGACAGCGGCTCAGGAGAGGGGCAGTCATAGCCTTAGGGCTCTCGCGATAACAGACGCGAGAGCTCAGTGCCCAGAAGCCCTGGCTCCTCCCGCACACCCGTCGCCATTTAGTCTCAGGCACCTCTTCAGGAATTAAAGCTCATGAAGAACATCATGTCTCCCGCCCAAGTTCACAGGCCTGTGGATGGCTGCTGGGACGCCTTGTGTCCGGAACTGTGGAGTCCCAGCTCCCAGGAAGGAGAGGCCATGCACCAGGCGAGGCCATGGCAACTGGGTCTGAGGAAGGAGGTGAGGAGGTCCCTATTGGCCAGGATGACTTCCCACCACTCGGAGGAACAGGGCCCCCAAGGCTCGGAGCAGCCGAGAGCACCCCGGTTCCATTGCCTGCAGCCTGGACTCCTGGATGGACAAGCAGACGCCCGAAGGTGCGTGGGGTCAGGAGAAGCAGGTGGGCCTGCCTGGGGCTGGGATCTGAGAATGGAGGTGAGAAAGGCAGGAAGAGGTGGCAGTGGCCCAGGGCTGCA